TTTTCTTTTTCTTTTTTGGTTTAGTAGCCTGAGTGGATGCTAGGGGCCCTGATAAGAGCAGGCACCACTAGCACTCCCGGGGTCAAATTCTAACTTTGGATTGGTCTGAATATTCAAGCCAGAATGGGGAGCAGTGCAAGTTGGACTGGGCTCACCACTTGTTGACCTCTTTTGGGGGGGGAAACTACGTGGGAGTCACGGAAAAGAGTTATAATTGCACTATGGGCCAAGATACAGTTTCGACTTGCAGTTCGGGCAATGTATACAACCCAGCTTTCTGGCCAGGTAGGGTGCCTGAAGTGCAATTGCAAACTGTATCTTGCCCCATTGTGCAAACGGGGGAAAATTGGGGGTAGTGAACTGGTGTGAAATGCAAGGAGGAGATCAAAAGAAGGTTCACAGGAAATACCAGCTCTGCTTCCATGAGTGGACGACACTCGACCCCACGCTTACACTTCAGTCGCCCTCAGACTTCCAGACCCGTTCCCACCTTCCTCGATGAGCTTGGTAGTGGTGAACAGGACCGAACCCTCGGAAGATCAGCTGCACAGTTGACCCTCCTGCTTACCAGAGCAGTCAATGCTGGCAGCTAAGACCTTACTGTTATGCTTTACTCATTCCTGTCTTCTTCTAAATGCGCAAAAGGGACGCTGGACCCGTTTTCCAGCAGGTAAGGCTCCCCACCAATAGATTGGAGCATTTTCCAAAAACAAAAAAAAAAAAAAAAAAAGAAGAAGAAAAAGAACAGGACTTCTTTGGGTAACAGCGGCCTAGCTCAGTTGGTAAGGCACACAAGTGGCATTCAGGAGGTCTTGGGTTCAATCCCCATTGGCCTCGTGGGGTAATCGGGGAGGCACAGTGACAGGCCACTCAGATGATGCTCGGTCCCTCTGCTACCGGCTGTCCCCCGGCCGGTGTCCCCCATTGGGGGTTCCCTGAAGGCAACCAAGGCCACCCTGGGCTGAAAAAGCCACCCGATGTCAGATTAGACACAATATTGATTTACCTGGGCTGGTTAGTCCGATGATAATACCTCAAGGCCATCGCCCTTAAAAAAAAAGAAAAAAGAAAAAAACGAGGGGAATGCTTGAAGAACAATAGAACTGAGGGCGAGGGGTTTTTTGCTCAAGGAAGCATAGTTAAACCACCAGTACCTTGCCCAGCTATTAAAAAAAGTCGTGGCCATGCGTCGCGACTTTCGGGGGTCGGGGAGTTGAAAGACCGGTAGGAGCTCTTTTTCTTTAGACATGAAAATAACCCAAAAAAGAAAAAAAAGAGATACCACTTCAAAAAACAAGAAAAGAAAAAAGAAAAAGAAACAACAAAATTCAAGGGCACGGGGAGGGTTCTCTCTCTCTCTCTCTCTCTCTCTCTCTCTCTCTCTCTCTCTCTCTCTCTCTCTCTCTCTCGCTCGCTCGCTCGCTACTATTGTGAAAAATGGGAATGAATCTTCTGCTACAAGGCGGCATGATTCATTCGCGTCGCTCAGTGGACTGCCNGGCGCGTTCGACGCGGGCCGGCTCTCTCTCTCTCTCTCTCTCTGTATATATCTATATATATATATATGACGATATATATATATATCCCTTTTCCAAGGGGAAGGCCCTCAGACAAACGTGCAAAATGAGAACGAATCTTCCCCGACAAGGAGGGAAGATTCATTCTCTATCCCGTCTCTCTCTCTCTCTCTCTCTCTCTCTCTCTCTCTCTCTCTCTCTCTCTCTCTCTCTCTCCACGCAACCCAAAGATGGAAAGTGCAAACGGATATCTTTGTTTTTCAATTTCTTTTTTTTTTCGCAGAAGAATGTCGATTTTTTTTTTTGTCTTCGTTTTTTCTTCCGATGTGTACCTACCGGTAGCTCGAGGCTCGGCAAGGTTCGGGATACCGGTAGGCTGAGCCGCGGGCCTTAACAACCGCTAGGTACTGGTGGTGTAAGGTTCAGCTTGGAAGTGTGGAAATAACGGACAAGGAGAGTGCAGCGCAGGGCATAGGAGTCTAGAAGAACCTATATCAATCTCAGCAATTGAGCAACACAGAGAAGTCACCCTCAGATGGCAAACAAGAATGACACAGAAGGGGAGCACTACTCGGAGGTAGAAGAAAGAAGGGGCAGATAACACAGTTCCAGTGATAGACAGATGGCATTTGGCGCCCTGACAAAGGGTGAAGAGGACTAGCTTGCATCTGCAAAGGTTCCTGACTATTTCAACTGCATATCTGCTAACACAAACAATCTCAATGTTCAGGTACGCTGGACCCGCTTTCCAGCAGGTGATGCTCCCCACCAATAGATGGAGCCTCCCAGTCAGTGTTAGAGGTGTCTGCTCTTATCAGCACCCCTAGCATCTGCTCTTATCAGCACCCCTAGCATCTGCTCGGGTTGTTGAACTTGTTGTTGTTGTTAAAAAAAAAAAGAAAAAAAAAACCGTTTTTGTGACTCTACTGAAGTTACCCCTTTTTTTTTTTCAACATCTCCTATGCCATTGAATGGTACGACATAAAAAGAGATGGTGGCCTGGAAGGAGGTTGGGACCCCTTCCAATGGACTTCGAAGGATGTCCTACACAGAATCAGGGTAATAGGGGAAGGGGAGAACCGGCGGACCTTTCTGCCTGAGATGGCCTTAGAAAATCCCCCTATAGACCCCCTGGAGTGGGTTTGGAGCCCCAACACACAGCACAAGCCGCGACAACTAAAACCTAAAGCATTGTCGGACCTAACGGTGAAAGTAATGTATAGAATGCTCAGAGTTAAGCGATGCCTAAAGGATACGGTGATCGATAGATGGCAGAGACATCTCAACGTGGAGAGAGTTTCTTACACCGATACGATGGTTCTGCGACACCAAATGCAGGCCTGCGAAAATCACATCCCTGCAGTGGCAGATCATGCATCGGTGCTAACCAACTAATGACTGGTTGATTGATCACTCGCAGTTGGAACAACAAGGCCGCGCTCTCCATTGGTGCTCGAGATGTCTGTCGGGATTCCCGGCTAGAAAGAGACCAGAGACAATTGAGCATATTTTAATGCAATGCCCGGGAGCAGTCCTTACCTGGAGGTGGTGGGATAAGGTGTAACAGCAAATGGTTCCGGGCTACGTGTGGCCATGGGAGTGCCGAGCCATCCTCTTGGGCCACTGCCCACCTCTCCAAGGCAACACCTTTGTGTGGAATATGTTTCACCTGGGCCGAAGGACGATCCTGTGGGTTTTATGGTGGCAGCGCTGTGTTTTGTCTCTGGACTAGGTCCGGATAGAAGGAGAAGAGAGGATCGAGCAATTTAAACAGCTCTTTCAACTGGAGATCATGCACAGATGGAAGTCGACTAAGATTTCACTAGATACTCTCCATAGGTCAAAAGACATCCGGGAACGGCCATTACAGTTCTCCAGGGAATGGCTGGGTGGGAACCGTGAGGGATGGGTAGCGGAGGTCTGTTGGACAGGGGATTGGGAAGGACGGGAGGGCACGGAAGTCAGCCAAGGAGGGGATGTAGTGCCATGAGATTACCGTCTGAAGTTCAAGGAGTGGCTATCTATCGACTCTACTATCCCCATGAGACCTGCAGAGGAGTTTCCAGACCCGTTCCCCCCCCACCGTCGGGCCTTGGGGTGAGACAGATGTGGGAGGTGCTTTCTCAAAATGGCATTTTCAATTCTCATCATACTTTCATCAATCCTGGTCGCAGAAGGGAGGCCCCACAGGCTGGTTGAAGAAGGGTGGGGAGACGTGTGGTTCAGCTGGTGCCCCCCAGTGGTCCCACAACGTCTCCTTGCCAAGAGGCGGGACCCGGCTGGAGACCTTCATATTTGGAGAGGATCGTCATCAGAAACTCCCTTCAGCACCCTGCTCAGTTAATCCTCTGGAAATCCAGAGCAATCAATGCTGGCAGGCTCTTCTCAGATACTCTGTCAAGTTTTCCTGTTTTCTGATTCAACTTTGTTCCGTTTTGTATCAGGGACGCTGGACCCGTTTTCCAGCAGGTGATGCTCCCCACCAATAGATGGAGTCTCTCCTCAAGGTGTTAGTGGTGTCTGCTCTTACCAGCACAACTAACATTAGAGGGGTTCTTTCTGTTATACAAAAAAAAAAAAAAAAAAAAAAAAACACAACTTCTGCGGGGGGTACTAGCAACCCCCAGTAGTAGGTGTTGTGGGTGGCTCCCGCCTATAGGTGGGGAACAGCACCTGCTGGACCTTTTACCTATGGGTGTAATCGGAACTGTGTACCCATGGCCATTTAGGCCATCGTTAGGAGGGAGGGGGAGGAGGTGGGAAGGGGGACGAGGGAGGAAGTACTTGCCTTGGTATTCATTCTGAGGCCCCACATCCACTTCTGTGGGATGGTGGGCAGCATTTATTAGCATTGAATGACTGATACCTATGAGCCTCCGGTGCACCCCCGGCTATCTTTCAATCATGTGGCAATTTAACTGGCCAGAGGCAGGC